AAGCTCATGTTTCTTGCTGAAAAGTTACTTATAAGTTTTCTTTTGTCTTATTTCATGTGTACTAAAAATATTTGCACTAGAAACTAGGCAAATATTCTTGGCAAGATTTTATGTTTTTACAGTGTGTTATTTGTGTAACAACTATAAAAATAAAACAGAAATAGTTAATCAATGTGTAATAGCATGTAGTTTGCATTATTCAATGTTATTTTAAATATATTTTATCACACTAGCTTAGCGTAGTGCTGCTCTTGGGCCCCCCCTACTGGTGTGGAGGCCCTAAGCAGCTACTTAAGTCCCATATTCCTTGGGCCGGCTCTGACTGAGAGGTTTTGTTGTTTTTTTGTTGTTTTTTTTTTTGCAGATTGTGATGCGGCCGTCCAAAGTGCTGGAGCTGCAGCTGGTGAAGAAGGGCTTCAAAATGGACGTGGGCCAGTATGTCTTCCTCAACTGCCCGGCCATCTCGCAGCTGGAGTGGCACCCGTTCACCATGACCTCTGCCCCTGAGGAGGACTTCTTCAGCGTCCACATCCGCTCGGCCGGCGACTGGACGGACAAACTCATCGATATCATGCAGAAGCTGCCGGAGGGATCGCAGGGGCCCAAGTAGGTGTTCGCATTACGAACAGTCAGGTTTTCCAGCAAATTTTGTATCTTGTTTTGGTTGTTAGTAGTTTAAGCTGCAGAAACATTGAAAGTGAATAATGATGGGATTTTTACTCCAATCCGATATGAGGCATGTTTGATTTTATTTTCCCACCAAACATTTATTAGTTTCCCTCTTAACTGCCTAAGGCATCAGTAAACATGTTACCTAAAAACAATTTAGAAAAATAAAATAAATATGTACATTAGGTTTTTTTTATTACACTTTTAGAAGCTTTTATGAAACATAAAAATACGGCAGAATATTAGGGTAAAACTAATCAGTCTTATATAATTATGAGGATAAAGTTAGAATATTACGTGACTAAAGTCAAAAGTAATAAAGTTGTAATAACACGACAATAGTCATACAACAATAAAGTCAACATTTTTGAAGATACAGTTGAAATAATAACTCATAATATTACAAGAAGTCATTTTACAAGACGGCAATAAAGTGGTAAAAATACAACAGTCATTATAATTCGAGAATAAAGTCGTAATATTAGGAGAATAAAGTTACAATAATACGATAACTCTTAGCAGCTTTTAGGAAACATGGCGGTATGATGGAGTATTACAGTAAGTCTTTTTTAATTACGAAAATAAAGTCCAAATAATAAAAACGTCACAGTATATTGAGAATAAAGTCATAATCCGACCTTAAAGTTTTATAACGCTAATAAAATTGTACAAGAATAAAATCAAAATAAGAATGTCAGATTATGAGGAAAATCATATTACTGGAAAAAAGTCATAATAATACAAGAATAAACAGGATTTACTGACCTGCCTGCTGTTAATGTTCAACTACTGAGATTGAAGTTTGAACAAATGATTGTTCTTGCTTTCATTTCGACGCATCAGAGTAAAGAGGGCTGAATATGCAACATTTATACTTCTCTGCTTTGTGTTGGTGTTTTTCCTGAAAACCAACACAAACTCACTGTAAGTTGTGACGTTTATTTGTCGACCTGCTGTCCATCTTCAGGATGGGCGTGGACGGGCCTTTCGGGACGGCCAGCGAGGACGTCTTCGACTACGAGGTCAGCATGCTGGTCGGCGCCGGCATCGGCGTCACTCCCTTCGCCTCCATCCTCAAGTCCATCTGGTACAAGTTCAAAGACAACGACCCCAATCTGAAAACCAGAAAGGTGAGCCTGTTCCAGGTTTCGTCACGGTGACAAACTCGAGGCCCGGGGGCCGAATCTGGCCTGCCACAGCCTTTTATGTGGCCCTTCAAGATAAAAGCTATGAGCTTACATATTATTTTATCAATCAAATCAAATTATATTAATCAGTCAGTCTAGTTTTGTGCAAAAATTCACGCAAAATCAAAAGATCCTCACACTGCTTCATGCTAATGCATAATAATGGTCAAAAACATAAAGTTTAAGTGATGCTAACTCCCACCTGCAGGTGGCAGTATTTCCTACTTTTATTATTATCTGTAATCGATACGGGGAGTTACAAAGCAAAATCACACTTACTGTCTGTTTTAAGCGCAAACATTTCTTGCTAATATCTCTAAAGTAGCTCCACAAAATCTGTGATTTTGGTTGCAAAAAAATAAAAATCACAAAAACAATCGTAAAATCCTGGATGGACTGATGAATGCGAGAAGATGTTAGACATTATTTAATTTAAAGCTGCAGCCACCATGTTGTGAAATTATGGAATGAAACAGATAAACTGTGAATAAGTCAAGCTCTCTGCCTTCTCCCAGAAACAACCAATCAGAGCCAGGAGGCGGGTCTTAGCCCTGTCAATCAGCGCTGAGACCCACAGAGTCTGTTGTGAATGCTAAGGCTAGCTAGCACAGCCGCCAATAATAGCGGATAAACGGTTTTCCTGTAACAGTAAGTAGTTTCTCCACCAGTAGCACATTTAGCATCGTATTCATGAGGTTGATTAACAGCTCTCCTCCTGGCTCTGATTGGTTGATTTTGGCATTTCTTAAGATGGCAGTAGTAGCTCAGGGATTAGGTGGAGGAGAGTGATTTTTTTTTTACATTATCTGTCTCACAGCATGATGACAGTTTTAACAAATATGTAAAAAAAACACATCTTTAATAAAAGTGACATAATGCAGCTTTAGAGACGAATTTAAAACAGATATTTCTTTATTTTAACAGTTTGTTAATGGGCTTTACCAACTTATCCAGGCACAATCTTCAACAACATAATAATTACACTCCTATGTAAGAGGGAGCGGTACCATGGTTCTGACACACCTTGCTCTGTTTACTGGTCTCAGATCTATTTCTACTGGTTGTGCCGGGAAACCCACGCCTTCGAGTGGTTCGCCGACCTCCTGAAGGCGCAGGAGAAGGAGATGGAGGAGAGAGGCATGGGGGATTTCCTCACCTACAAGCTGTTTCTGACCGGATGGGACCAGAGCCATGTACGAGTCCAAAGTCCAGATTAGCCGTCACCGTTTCCTCACGAACGCCGCCGTAAACCTTTTTCCTTTTACGGCCATCAGGTGAATTACGTCATGGTGAACGTGGATCGGGAAACGGATGTGGTCACCGGGCTCAAGCAGAAGACTCACTACGGCCGACCCAACTGGGACAAGGAGTTCGAACAAGTCCGCAAAGAGAACCCAACGTAAGGCAGGCGGTTTATTTCATGTCCTCTTTTTGGAAAAACAAACATTTTTATTGCTGAGCGCATTAGGGCCGTTTTAGATGAGGAAAGTAGGGATGAATTTCTGCCAAAACATTCAGAAATGCTGAGATTCATCCCAGAAATGCTCTAGAAAAACTCAAAAAATTTCTGCGCTTGAAAGATTAAAAATGAGCTCTGAGACAAACTAACTTTTTAAGATTAAATCTCAGGAATTTTCTCCAAAAAATAAGAACATTTGAGTTTCAAAATTCAAAAATCTGCTTGTTTTTTTTGGGAGAAAATTTAATCATAAAACGTCTGTTTCAAGTTTTTTATAGAAAATTTCCAAGATTACTCTTAAAATTTCAGATTTTTCTCCAATCTGTTTTTTGACTTGTGGCACTCAGGAATCTTACGGATTTTTCTAGAAAATTTCTGAAATTAATCTTAAGATTTGAGTTTTTTTTCTTGCAAATTCTCCACTTTTGGAAATCAAAGATTTTCAAACTCTTTCTAGAGAATTTCTGAAATTAATCTAAAAACAAATCTGCTTTTCCTGCCAAATTCTGCAGTTCAATTTTCTTGTTTTATCAGGAACATTTCTGAGGTTTTTTGGCAGAAATTTACTCTTTTTAATGTGTTATTTTAAGTTTAACATTGGACTTCAGTCCAAAAATAACAAGGAATAAATTACTTTTGAGTATTAAAAATACAAAGTAATTTAGGGGACCTGCAGGATAAAATGTGATCAATTTTTCTCATGTCCAGATGAGCCATGAAATTATGACCTGAACCTGTTCTGCAGGTGAATTTTATTGGTTGCTGAAGCTGGTTAGGACTGAAATGAACAGATTTGCAGACGTTTAGTTTTGGTTGTCTGCAGGTCCGTGGTGGGAATGTTCCTGTGCGGACCCGAGGCGCTCGGGAAAGTTCTGGAGAAGAAATGCGGGAAATACTCGGATGTGGATCCTCGCAAAACCAAATTTTACTTCAACAAGGAGAACTTCTGAGCCAAGAACAAAACGATTGTTGTTGAGCAGGTGTGACTGAGGGCTGGTTCTGGTTGGGGAGGAGATTCACAGATCGCTAGTGACCGTAAAGACTCACAGCTGGCTGCAGAACCGGCCGGGTGGGTTTGACTTTTAAATCCACTGGAAAGAAAGGAGCTGCTTAGGCCTTAAGCTCAGGATTTGTCATCATGAGTCATGAAGTCAGCTGCAATAAAAGTTTCATTGTTACCATGAAGTGTGAAGCTAAACAAAAATGATGTGCATTTTTAAAAAAAAAACGCAGCTGGTTGTGCTAATTTGGGATAATAATGTGCTGATTTTAATGCTGAACTGAACTATGTAGATCCAAACACAAATGTAGAAAATGTTTAAAACTTTGCAGCTTTTCCTTTTTTAAAAATTACATTTTCTGCTGACTGCTGAAGCTTTGTACATTTTGCCTTTTTAAAGCTGTAAATATGAAAATAAAGTTTACATATCTGTTACAGAAAACAAAGTGTTTCAAATACATGATGTACATCCTTGTCGCCTCTTACTGGTTGAGGAAAGTGGTTTACTGGAACAATAAAAGTTTTCCAGCGTTTCCTGAATGGCTTCTTACTTCTTCCTGACAAGAAAAAGCAGGTAAACAAGGAACCAGGTAGCAAATTAAAGCCGTGGCAGGCAGTGGTATGTCTTCCTGTAAGAGTTTATTCTTTGTTATTTAAAGTATCTTGGATTAAAAATAAGGAGGCATTTTGTGACTTCTTTAGTTTTATTGACAAAACAGTTTTGAGATTTTACAACAGTTTGGTTTAAAGGAAAAAAAAAAAAAACGTGTCCATTTCTGAAGTCATTCGGATCAAAGCTACTCTTCATACAAAAAGGAAACAAAGCTATGATCTCCTACACTGCAAAAACACAAAATATTGCCAAGTACTGTTATCTAGTTTCTAGAGCTGTCTTGAAATAAGATCAAACTGACAAGTAACGTTTTACCAAATAATTCCTTAATATTGATTAAAAGGTGGTGGGTCTACTGGCAGATTATTTACTCATGGGAAAAATGTGACATTCTCTCTTATTTCAAGACATTTTCACTAGAAGCTAGATAAAAATACTTGGTAATATTTTGTGTTTGTGCAGAGCGGCCGGTTTCAGGAAGAGACAGCGGCTCCTGCAGCAGGAACGAGTGAAAACATCGTTGAAATCAGAAAACTCCTTCCTGCTCCAGGCGGGAAGCCGAGGAGGAACTCCGTCTTGGAGAATCACGGAGCGCCAGAGGCGGTTTTCTGAATCTGCTCCTTGAGGATGAGGATGCTCTGCCGCTGCTCCGGCGGCAGCATGGCGATCTGCTCCGGGGTCAGCTGCAGGACCTGCATGATGAGGGCGGCCTGGAAGAGACGGGGCGGCGTTAAGCGGCGCTGGCAGGAAACATCGGCGGCAGCGACGGCATTGATGGACCCACCTTCTCCTGATCCTGAGTGGAGACCTGACTCTGGCCGGGACTGAAGCCTCCTCCTGAGGGCGCGACGCCAGAAATACCCGGACCCTGCAGGACAGCACAGCCTCAGCTCGGTTCACTCACTTCTTCTGCATTTTCCTTCACCTTATAGATCACGTGCATCAAACTCAAGGCCCGGGGGCCAAATCTGGCCCGCCGCAGCTTTTTATGTGGCCCTCTACACTCCAAATTACATCAATGAGTCCCTCCATTTTTTTCACAACTCCTCAAAATTCACATGAAATAAACAAATCCCCACATTTTTTCTGGCTTAATTACAAATTTTTATCAAAATTGGTCAAAAACGTTGGACTTAATTGACTGGATGCCAAGTTATAGTCGGTGATCAATTTGACTAGTGATAAAATGTCACATTTAACATCATACATTAGCACATACACAAAATTTTCTTACAAATATTTCTAATTTGGGTTCATAAAATCTGTGATTTTTTTGTGGTTTCTGATTACAAAAACCAAAAAAACAATGAGAAAATCCAGTCACAGCTGTTCATTAACATGTTAACAGTTTGATGGGTTTTATCAATACATTCTGGCAAACCAGCCCTTTAAGAACATCAAGATTTTTCATCTGGCCCAAAATAAAACTGAGTTTGGCGCCGCTGGTACAGATGCTCACTGACGATGGCCAGCATTGGTTTAGCTGTCAAATCTTAAATAAACGCCTGACATATAAACGAAACACAGAGCTTTGATATACAACGACAAGATGACAAGGTCAGGAAAAAGTTTTAATTAAGGAAAAAAATAATGAGCGAGAGGGAAGTAGTTCAGTCAGTGACAGTTTCTGATCTGGGCGATATGGGCAACTACCCAGGGCGGCATCTGTGGGGGAGGAGCATGAGTGGCAGAAGAATTTGTTTGTAAAATGTGGATTGTTGTGGGTGATGAAGTCAGCTTTAGATGGGAAACAACATTCAGTTAGAAACTAACAAATGGGATTTTACAAAAACTAAAAGGTACTAAAAAGTCGAACCAATTAGGAATCACTCAAAGGCTTTTTGTTTCAACGGTCAAGTCAGAAATGCAAGAAATGTTTGAAAACTAAGAAAATAATACAACTAATTGTGATTTTTATTATTGTGCTAAAAATAAACGTATGTATGCAATATATTACTTATCAATACAGTATAAATTTGTCGGAAAAGGACGTACAAATTATTGTAGATTAAACTTAAATTAGGTTTCCTTAGGAGAAAAATTAACAAATTTATATTTTGATGGTCGACTATTTTTTGTCTGTTTTTAATCAACAAATCCAGTAACTGGATAATAATAATAATAAAAAAATTGTGTACATATTTTTGTTTTCAAGCAAACTTTCTACTTACGATCCAAGTTTGGTTATTAAAAGGCAAATACTTTTATCATGTTGTGAAAGGATTTTAATTTATCACCAAACGAAAGCCTGTGCTGGTGGGTCAAATTTCTAAAACTTTCAAACTGTAGTTGGGGGCCACACAAAAACAACCCAGAGGCCGCAAATGGCCCCCATGCCACACTTTGGACATCCCAGAGTTGGAGGGTAAAACATGCAGAAAGTCTCAGCAGCTGAAAGATGCTTTCAACCAAACAGCAGACGGATTTAAGGCTCTGCCCAGTTACCGGTCTTGCAGGCGGAGGAACGTTTGGACCCATGGCGTGGGAGACCGGGCCCTGCATCCCGGGCACCATGGGAACCCTCTGACCCGCCACCGGCCCGCGAGCGTCCATCGCCCTCGGGTCACGGCCTAAAGGAAACAGGTAAGAAGCTTAGGAGAATATGATGCTGAAACTCAAATCTAAGACTTTTTAAGAGCCTTGTGAATGAAATTTAAGACCTGAAACAGAAACGCAAAAGAAAATCAATAATAAACAAATCGTTTCGGTTGGCAATGATGAAGATGAACATCGTCCAGCCAGCTGGCGATAAATTTACACTTAGCCATGATGGAAGTCAAATATGCTAGTTTTACCCTTAGCAACAAAACAGCATATTAGCAGCTAGTTAGCGGTAGCTGTAGCCACCTCAAGTCGCAGAACACAGCAAAAAGCTTTGCATAACAGTGAAGGCCTGCGAGAAAAAATGAAAACTACATAAAATATGAGATTAAATAATCCTGCCACAACAAAATTTAAGACCTGCGATGTTTAAGGTCAACTCATTTTTAAAATGAATTTAAGACATTTCAAGACTTTTTAAGGAACATGTAGCTCAGTCTACAGCTATAAACTCTGATTTGTTTTTATTTCGTTTTGTTAATTCTTTGCCAGCTGGAGTTGATCTTAGCTCTGTAACAAACATGAATCTGATAAATTTAATCTTCAACAACACGTTTTTCTCCGACTCGTACCTCTGGGTTCCATTGGTGGTCCCCGCGGCTCCATCATCGGCGGCCCTCGTGGATCCACCATCATGGTCCGTGGCTCAGGCATCGGAGGGCCTCTCATTTCGGGTGGCCCGCCTCCCATCTGAGGTCCGCCTCCCATCTGAGGTCCGCCTCCCATCTGAGGTCCGCCTCCCATCTGTGGCCCGCCTCCCATCTGAGGTATATGTACGGGCGGAGCCTGGTGGGGCGGCGGAGCGGCCATGTAGGCCCGGCTAAACGCAAACAGTTCAACCAGATTTACATTTTTGGGTTTGATCATCACCACGTTACAGATTTATGGCTTTAACAAGCAATCGGTGCACCAATCTTTAAAAAGCCCGACCTGCCGGTTACGATTCTGGCCAGTACCACTGCGACCGCGGGACGCTTTCAGGTCGTTTGCGGTTCACACAGGAGATCACATACAAGTCGTTTATATTTGGAAATCTCAACAACCACGAGAAAAAAAGAAAAAAGTGTGTGGCTACGTTCACAAAACTTGTGAACGTTTTCTACCTACTGAATGAAATACAAACATATTTACTTTAAACAGAATCTGAAGATCGTTTCTGAATCGAACCCTAAAAGTCAAATCGTTTGGCACCAAAAGATTCACGTCTCTACTCCATTTTGCTTTCAACCAGCCAGACAAGCTGGACCGAGTCAGAAGAACCAGATGAACAGAACAAAAAGACGACTTCTCAATAGTTTACGATGGAATGGAGCAGAGAGGCGGCGTTATCCAGAACAGTAGAGTGGACAGTACTGCGGCGCTAATTCTGCTAACAGCTGCTGATGTTTCTTACTTGGGGTCGATGACCTCTCCGGTGACAGACAGCAGAGTTCCTCCTCTGGGATCATTGGGTCCATCGCCTAACAGGCCTCTGGGTGGGATACCGCCCGGCCCTACGTTAACAACAACAACAACAACAAAAACATCAATCAAAAGCCAAAACACACGTCATGGGTTTTCTTTGGCAGCGCTGAGTGGGCTGAATTTCCTGGCAGACACACACACCTATAAAAGGTGTTGGCTTTAATGTCAGAACCGAGCCATTTTGGGTCACATTAAACCAGCGACAGGCAGAAAACCTGCAGGATTCTCCAGTCTAAAGCAAAACGTCCCACAGCGAGACGTCTGAACCGATTTCACTCTGACCAACTCAAACACACATAAATGTAACGAATGCCGTCCTATAAATAAAATGTAATCAGGCTGAGTGTTTCTGTTCGACAGCAGCCGGTAGTTTCCCCCTTTCACAGTGATTAATGTTTAAATGCTCCACCACGACTGCAAGATCCTGGAAAATATTAACTGTGCAGGAAAAGAAAAAGCTCTTTGTTTTGTTTTGGAACCGTTGCTCTCAAAGAGAGAAGTATTTAGACGGAAACAAAAGACGAAAGAAGCTGCAGTGTAAACGTAACCTACTCAAGCATGAGTAGCTCTACGTAGATTTACTCAAAAAGTAAAAAGTAAAAAATAGCCATCCAAGAAATTACTCAAGAAAAAAAAAGTATTTGGTAAAAGTCTACTCATATACTGAGTAACAGATCAAAACATCAGTATTTTAATATCTAAAAGATTACATCATCAAACGGACCAAAAATATACAGCTCAGTGGAAATTTGGGAATTTTAAGAACCAAAATGACAATAATTGAAATTAGTAACAAACATAACGAAATCTGGCAAAAGAAAATGTCTCCAAATCAGTTTCTTTGAATAACAAACTGATGAAACTTTAACAAAAACTGCAGGTGTGAGTCTGTGTCTGATGCATGTTAGGTTAAAATATGTTTGTATTTCATTCAGTAGGTAGAAAATCCAGAAATTTTACTCAAGAGTAGAAACACTTCATAATAACAATCAAGTAAAAATAAACCGTAATAAAAATAATACTAATACTAGTTACCACCCAACTCTGATCACATCATGTGCCAACCATCCCCATCACTTGATCATTAATAATAATAATAGCTATTATTATATTTATTTTGAATGTCCTTTTATTCTGCAACATCCCTGCTCCGGTTTTTCAAAATGATCCAATTTTTATTAAAATGCTCAACAAAAGGAAAAGTTTTTCTTACAGACAAACAACAAAGTGAGTCTCAAAAACCACAAACATGGAAACTGATTGGCCTGGATCTGTCAACAAAGAGGCAGAAATTTAAAAAAAAAAATTAAACATCATGCATAAGCAGCAGGTCATGCTGATTAAACTCTTCAGTGAGGAAGTTGCAACTGAGAGGAGAAGCTGCAGCTTTATAAGCTAAAAAAGAAGCAGGAAACTTCTAGAAACTTCTCCTTAAAACAGTTTCAGCAAATAACAGGAAGCTGAACAATTTCCAACAAAGCGGCTCGGTTTTATCCTTTAGAAGAGTCCAGTTGTACAGACAGGCTAATGTTTAGCTAGCAATGCTAACTGCACAAATATAAGGCGGTACAGACAGCTGGGCTGTCACCCTGCATTTATTTATAAATAATAATAGAATCATGTTTAACTGCAGAGCTGGCCTCCTTAACACACCTGAGGATAGACAGAGAGAGAGAGAGAGAGACAAGAAAGAGAGAAAAAGAGAGAAAGAGGCAAAGATAGAGATAGAGAGTGATAAACATACAGTGAGAGATAGATAGATGAGAGGCGTGAGCGGAAAAAATGGAGCAAGAGATCAAATGAACGAGCGAGAAAGAGGTGAGAGAGAAATCAGCTCAGTTGACATCAGCAGGTCAGATTCTTTACAAAAAGTGGAAAAAGGAAATGAGCCAAAAAATCTCTGATTCCGACACAGAGGAGAATTTCATGACGAGAAAACCTCTTCAATTTCTTCACTAAATCAAATTAGTCTGATTTTACAGAAAGAAAAACAAAAGGCAGAAAAGACAAACGCAAATATCACCCAGAGAAACAGCGAGTGTGAAAACCGCACATCAGTAGTTATCGAAGCTTCCTGATCGTCTTTCTTTAGACGTCGGCTGCTTTTCCACACATTTCTCTACCCGATCAGAGCAGCTCATTGTGCATTTTAAAAACAATAAGGAAATTTAATACAATGAGGACAAATTGATTCCATTTCTATTTGCACTAGAAACTAGACCAAAAATACTCTGTGTGTTTTTGCTGTGTGTCCATATATTTTAGCTACAAGTAGGTTTTCTCTGATTCATCTTTTCTGCAAACAGAAACTTTACATTGGAGACCCGATTGTAAGCAGGCCTTTCTAAGCAATAAATCCATTAATCGTATGATAATTTGAATGAGCTCAATAATTTCTGTTTGCATGATGTATTGTTTTTGTCTTTTCTCTATTCCTACCAAAACCTGGATGACAAACGTCTTCAGTCGGGCATTTTGGTCTCAATTAGACTTTTTTTTTTGAAGGACAATTTTGTTAACATAGACTTCATAATTCATTTTATTTGTCGTTTCTGGTGTTTTGTTTATTTATTTTGGATATTTAAAATGCCTTCCAGTTCCAGTGTTAAATGTTCGTTAGAATTCAAAGTTTATTGATCTCTGATCATTTATTGCAATGCTGGAAAACAACAATATTATCATTTATTACAATAACTTCTGGAACAATTTATCGCCCAGCAAAATTTGTTATCGCGACATAATATTGCTGTTATAGACAAATATTTGAGGATGATTGTGAAACTGATGCAAAAGCCCTTGAGTTTCTGACCCGGTATCTTTTCATACCCTGCCTCTCCTTCCTGACGCAGCATTTCTGCACCAGTTATCATCGCAGTCTCGCTCTCAGCTCATGAACAGGCCTGATAATCGCTCTCAGGGTGCAGAGTGAAACAGCGAAAGGCATTAGGAAGAAGCAGGCATGCAAGCAGAAACGGTGGAAATCAAACAGTGAAATCCACAGATTGCCCTGCATGCGGACAGCGTCTGCCCTGCGGAGTCTACTGAGCTGTCAGTGGGGCTGAGGGGTGACAGTGATACCTTGAGGCCGCTCGATAGCGGCGGGTCCGGCTGATCCTGTGGGGGAATTCTGTAGGTTTCCTGAGCCAGCATTAAAGTGAAAAGAACAGGAGACACAGGACTCAAGACAGCGAAGCGGCAATGAGGGGCTCATCACATCGTCGCATGCACATAGAAAAATACAGCGAGGCTTCACTTCAAAATGAAAACGTGTCAAATGTGCCGAAAAGAAAGAATCAATTTTCATATCTGACATTTAGCGACACAACAAAGAGGAAACGAAACTGACCCAGCTGAGAACATTAGCAGGGGCTCTGGTGACACCTAGTGGTCGTAGTGAGTCATGACGGGTGCAAAAGTCAGCTTTAAAAGTATTCTAACTGGAGCTGCAACTAACCATTATTCTATTGACGATTAATTGATTAACCAGTTTTAAAAATTACACATTCTGCAGATTTTTCATTTAACAACTTAACACTTTTCAGATAATATTAGAAAAACATTAAAAGATGCAAATAAATAATTAAATAAATTTTTTACATTAGAAAATAAAGCTAAAATGCAATAACGGCATTGTTTTAGTGAACATTTGATCATTTATAGCAAAAGATCTACAACTAAAAAATACTTCTAGCATCAAAATCAAAAGCTCAGTCCTTTGACTTGACATCAACGCAGTGCAGATGAACTGTGGTTTATTTTTAAAATTAAACAATAATTTAATAGGAAAGATGTTTCCTAAAAGGAGATTTTTGTTTTTATTCATACAGAATTTGAGCGAAAATTATAAGACTAGAGCAGTTCTGGGTAGAACATCTTTACAGATGAAGATTTTTTTTCTTTTATATTAAATCCAAGTGTTTTTATTTTGTATTGTTTTGGTTTAATTCCTGCTCTGAATATTGTTTTTCTTTCAGCTAAGGACATGTTTCAGAGTATTTATACTCCAGCTGATGAATAATCAATTACTAAATTAGTTGACGATTACTTCAAAAATTGATCCGTTATTAATCCAATCGTTTCAGCCTAATTCAGAAAAATGTGCCATCAGAAAAAAGGAAACTTTTCGTTGTAGAATTAAATTCCCATTTAAAATCTTTGCAGATTCATATTTCAGGACTTTTCTGGAAGTTTGTTCCTCCATCGGTTTTCCAGAAACAAAACGCTTCGTGGCTCTTTAAAATAAAAAAATCCTTCCCCGAGTCTTCTAGGTAAAAAAATGTAAGGTTTTGGGCTGAACTCCAAGTACTGAGAAATCGGTCACCTCCACATTAAGGTCTCGATGTGGGGACAAATTTCCAAATCGAGGGAATTCAATCAAATCAGTTTTAACCTTCCTGAGGTCACAGGATCATTTACCGCTTCTAAAAAAAAAAAAGCGGTTTTTTTTTTTTTTTTTTTAAAAATCCAACCTTCAAAACGGGGCCCTAATCCCAACCATTTCCTAATAGGTTTTTATGGCGAT